AACTTCCAATCCTCTGGTACTTATCCACTTTTCAAGAACTGATAAAAACTAGTAGTAAGTGGCTTACATATCTAATCTTTAACCTCATTCAAAACCCTTCAGGAAATATTATGTAGCCCAGGAGCATTATTGATTTTTGAACTTCCCAATTTTTTCTTAACCAGTTCAGAATTAATGCAGTCATCTTGTTTGATCTCTTTTTCCATTTATCAACTGTTCAAGATGTGAAATACTGCTTAAATTTTCGTTTGTAAAAACCGAGGAAAAAGCAAAATTTAATAACCTAGCCATCTCATAATCATCACATGCTAGCCTTCCTTTATCATCCCTCAAGGGTCCTACCCCCATCCTAACATTTTGTTTACTTGTAATTTATTTAAAGAAATCCTTGCTGTTAATTTTTTACATTTTCAGCCAACCTTTTCTCATACATCCTTTTTGATGTCCTAATTTCCTGTTTCACCAACTTTCTTGATTTTCTATAATCTTCTAAATCTCCTGTCATACCAATCAATTTAAATTTCTTAAATTTATGGTGCTTTTTTAAATGATATCACTTAAACTCTTTGTGAGCCAACCTGGCTTATTACTTGCAGCTACACATTTCTTTCTATAAGGAATGTTTACCTTGAATATTTAAAAATTTATCTTTAAAAATCTTCAACATCTGATTAGTGTATCCAAATAACTCAGCTGCCCAATTTACAACAGATAACTCTTGTCGCATCCCTTCAAAATTTGCTTTGTTTAAACTTGTAACCAAAATATCATTATTCCTTATCTCCATATACAGCAAAACATCGAACCTAATAGAGCAATGATCACTTGCACCCAGATGTTCTCCAATTTCCACCCTCTCAATCATTTCAATATTAGAAGTTAACAATAAATCTAAAATAGCATTGTTTCTAGAAGGTTCCTTGACTAATTGGTGAAGAAAGCTATCTTGAATAGTTTCCAAAAAAAACTTTCTCCCTCATGGTTTGACTCTAGCATTTCCCAATCTATATGCCTGAAATTAAAACCACCCATAATTATGACTTCATTAACAGATGAAATCTTAATCTCATTGTAACATTTTCTATTAATTTCATCAGTATCATCTGGTGGTCTGTAACAAATTCCCACTAATATAAACTCAAATGGATTCACTCTTCTTGCTATTATCTTTATCCTCAACTTCAACAGGATGTAACTCACATTTTACATATAAAGCCACTTCCTTCCCCCTCTTTAATACTCTTTACCTATTAAATAATCTATAACCCTGTATTTCAAAGAAACTTCTGTTATCAAAATCGTGTACATTTAACCATGTTTCAGTTATTCCTATCATATCCAAATCCTCCATTCCTACCAGTGCTCTAAGGTCACCTATTTTATTTCTTATATTTATAGCATTACAAAGTAACAATTAAGCCTAATCTTATAACTACACACATTTCCTATGCTAAACTTTTCTCTGCCTCTTATTCTTTTAGCATTTAGTTTTCCTGGCCCTCACCATTGTCTAGTCCTAGTTTAAAACTTCCCTTACAGCTGAGTTAATAGCCTTAGCAAACAAGCCAGCCCCTATCCTATTTAAATGTCAATCATCCATTCCAAAAATCTCCCTTCTTCCACTGAACTGATCCCACAAGTCCAACCAGCCAATCTGCTCATCCTTACATACTAACCTAAGTCTAGCCTTATCCTTTGTAATTACAGTGATAATGTCAAGTTGAAGTCTGGTATTATTTGTCCTACTAAATTCCTTACCTTAACCCTCAAAATTACAGTATTAAAGTCCATCTCTGTAGTTAATCCCCCAGTAAATACAGGACTAATGAAGTAAGGAGGGTTGTCATTCACATCTTTAACATTCACTTGAACCTGTAACAATGAATTGTCTCGAGGGTCAAAATGAGAAATGGTTGGTGGCACATGGAAACAGTCATCTGATGCTTGAACTATGAGGCTATAGTTGGAACGCTCTTCTCTGTCTAAAGTCTTGGTGGTGGACAGTTCATGAGTAAAGATGTCCAACCGGAAGTTGCCATTTTCATTACCACCTACAAAGTATACTTTATTATAAAAACTTCACAATCTTTCAGTACTTTATATCCAATTCAATAAACATTAGAAATGTGGGGAGAATTTCCAGAAAGTAATCTAATCAATAATTTTGTTTTTAGGCTTTCCAGATTTTTCATGGAATCAGTACAAGGTAAAGAAAATTTCAGCTCAGTTGCTACTATACTGTTCTAGAACCACTTAAGTTACTGGACTCTTTCAGAGTTGAGACTAGGATATGGATATTGGAAACTGTCATATAAATTAATATAATCATTAACATATTACTGCTACTACCACAAAGTTAAAATAATTGCTTATTAGTACTGGAGTACTGTACTACATGTTATGAAAATAAAGTAAAAAGAAACAACTCTTTAACCACTGTTTGAAACATAGAAGTCAAACACTTCTCAACTCACCTACAATGAAATAACATGGTATTGGTTTAGAAACACCATCGTCATCGTCTTTGTCAATTGTTGCAGTCAGTTTGAATTTTTCCTGACCTGCTGGCAAATTTTCGGTAAAAGTCACATGGTCCTATAATGCAATATGGTAATATTGAACCAATCAAAGACGAGCAAAAATTATGACACGTGTCAAGTTATTTTTATTTACTATCTTTAAGCATCTAACCCAACAGATTTTGAACAAGTATTATAACAAATATTGACCTTAATTTGATTATGATAGTATGTAGCATTAAAATCTAAAACACACAGTTATTGTATAACTATATTAACAGAAATGTAGAAACTAAATTAACTAATTTGTTTTTTCGTGCTAATCCCTTTTTAACACAGTCAAACATTTTAAAACCACCTTAGGTGAAAACTGTCACCTTTAGTGGATGCAACATCCAAACAACACACGGCATAGGTATGGTCAGGCATAATTTAGGCTTAACTTACTGTGTATTAAAAAAGTTCATTTTTGAGAGGATAGAAATAAGGAATCTCAAAATTTAGTAATTAGCTCCCTTATCATGAATTATTCATTAACATTTAGGCTTTAGCTCATCTTCAAGGTCATAAACATTATGTCAATCACTAAAAGTACTATATATAATAGTTAATACACAAATATTGTTATACTGGTAGACAGAGAACTACACAAAGTTAACATGGTCAATATTGTTGTAACATTGTTCCATCACTAGACTAGTTTTTTTAATTATTTGGAGAAAATGATATGAAGTCCACCTAACAATACCAAATTACTTTAGTCCTTTCTTAATATGTCCCCTGATGGGTCAATAGTAAGAGTACAGACTTACAATGCTAAAATCAGAGGTTTAATTCCTGTGATGGACACAGCAGATAGCCTAATGTTGTTCTGCTCTAAAGCAAACAAGCTTTAACACTTTTATGTAGAAGCTGCCTTCACATATTTTTCCATTGTAACTTGTAGGTCTAAGTTTACAAGTGACGTCCCATCGGAAATGCTATGCTAACTGCACTACGACTAACATAAAAATAAACTGACTTGTACAGTTTCATGGCTGATTGACAAAGTAACTGAATATACGCGATGACTACCACAGTAACACAGATCCAAATACTTCACAAAAACTAAAGCTTCACCGAATGATTGGTATCATATCAACTGAAAGCAAAACACTAACTCAATGTTTCAGTGATTCTCATATTCATAACCTATTCACATCTCTCAATATTCCAAAATTTACAAGATTTTTATAAATATAGGACATTCTAGATATTCCACGTCTACTTTTAAAAAATTTAACTCATAACGTTATGTGCTCTCCAGCTAACCTCCAAACTAAAACTTAAAAAAGAGCTAACAACAATATTGTAGTGAATGGCACATTAGGACAAAATATATTTGTAGCATGTTTATATCATGTATCAATTGAACTTAATTTTCTATGAGCAAAAAACAAATAAAATATTAACTACATTAAAAGTAAAAGAACAAAATAAAAATAAATAAATTCTGATTATCAAATTATTTAACTTCACAATAAGAAAAAAAAAAATGTTATGCTAAAATTAGTGATGAACTCTAGTTAATATACCTGAAACTTGAAATTCAGTAAAATAGCAAAAATTCCAAGCTAAATAGTATAAAACTGAGATACATAAATAAGTATGTAAAGAAAAATCAAATATACAGTACCTTCACCTCTCAAACGAAAAAGCTTTATTCGCAATGTTTTGGCTATAAACCTACATCAGGTAGTTACGAAAGCCCATGGCTGAAACATCCGAGGTGAAGGCACTCTGTCTGATTTTACTTTATTATTTTTTTATTCTTTTGTTTAATTTAAGCTAAGAGACAAACAGTTACTTCCTAATAATGTTCTATTTGCATTCTATTATTGACAATATTGAAAGAAAAGAAAGATTTAAAATGGATAAGGAATTTTTTTGTTATTAAGACACATCAAGTGCAAGTTATTTTAAACTAAATAATTATAACTGACTTTAAAGATCACAAGAGGCATACTGTAAGACCTAATCACGTTGAAATGCCCATTTACGTTCTTTACGAAAATTATGCAATGTTCTGGGAACCTTACAACTCTTTCTTTTTTTCTTAAGGAACAGTAATCGTGATAAGTAACTTACTCAGTTGTGCGCTGACATGAAGCCTACTTTCTCATTACTAAAACAGAAATATTTCAATTTTTTTTATAGTAACTGTATAAAGAAAAAAAATATACAAAACTTACAATGTCTTGTGTGAATTCTGGGGCATAATCATTCACATCTGTAACATAAACTTTCAGATCCAAATCCGTGGACAGAGACGTTGGTTCTCCCATGTCAAAGGCCTCGACACGTAACTAAAAAATTACACATTGTTAAAAGATCAATGATGAACAGATTAGTTCAAGTTATTTTTCGACCTAATAATGAAAGCTATTCGTAAGAACAGTAGCTTTTGAGAAAATAATCTTAGATTTTTATCAAAACATCGAAAATGGTACAGTTATTATCTGCTATTCATAAAAAAAATTACTCTTAAATGTTCACTTTAATTTACACCATTTGTTTTCAGTCATTTAGCTTACCTCGTATATTCGTTGAGTCTCACGATCCAGTTCTTGTCTTAGAGTCATAATACCACTTTTCTCGCTGATCTGAAATGTCTTCCAGTGACCATTGGGCAGTTTTTTCAATCGGTATCTTACTTCCCCATTTATTCCTTCGTCCTCATCGGTAGCCTTAACTTCTGTTATGGTAGTTCCAATTGTCGCATTCTAAATAAATCATATTTATCATGTAGAATAAACATGTTTTAGTTCATGTTGCTGTTTAAGTTATTTGAGTAAAACAATACAAGGGCTATTTTTGCACAGCACTCTCCAAAGTTTTAACTGACAGACTAGAGCTAGTCAACAGCTCTTGGTCTACTTGTGTCTGACCAAATAGTGGAATTTGGCTGACACTTGTAGACTATTTCCACGGTTCTGAACTGTGGTGCATGTTTTTGCGGAAATGGGATGCAAATCATGAAACTTTGGATTCACAGTCCGGGCACACTAACCAAGCCTCAATAGTCTCATCCATATTATAATATAATCTAAAATGTAACACACTACAATATCATGAACCACGATAATGGTTCATAATAGCGATCACAACAAACTGCACAATACCCTAATAGAACATTCGGACAAAATGCACCTTAAACAGTAAAGATTCAGTTATTTGAAAAGGCTGCCATTTCTACTGGTAAAATTTTATACGTGCTTGATGGGAATTTTGTCTTAGTCTAGGTATATATATGCCTATTGACATGCATTATATATGTCACAATATTCTCAAACAAATCCCCATGACAATCTCCAGCTGCAGCTTAACATTTTAGACCGCAAACTAATACGATCAAATAGTAAATAGCTATAGTAAATCATCATGAACCGTATCAGATAACTACTAGTTATTTTATTATCACTACAATGTATAAAGTTAGCTATCATATCAAGTAATCTTTTGCAGATAGTTGAGCATAAAAAACCAGTAAATAAAATAAATAAAAAAATTGGGAATTTAAAAACATGCAAATAGAGTTTGTAAAAAGTAAGGAAAAAAGACTGGAGATACTGTAGATATTATTTACTCAAACTACATATCCGTATTTTGAATCCACCAAATGTAATTCTAGGTCACAGCATGTGGCCAAAATAGGGGTTTATAGTTTGAGTAAATTATGTCTACAATATCTCCAGCCTCGTTTCCTT